CACACCTAATTCAATGGTTCAGTTACCTGTTCAGCAGCTCATCAAGTTCTGCAGAAGTCTGCCACTTGCTGATTAAAATCAGGTGTGTTGGTCAAATCCTAACCAAGACATGCTGGATAGCGGCACTCAAGGACCAGTATTGCCTACCCCTGAGGTACACTGATATAATCTAAACTCTTATATAGTCTAACTCTTAATTTATGATTCCAACATAAACCAAATGGTAAAAAATGGTAAATGGCCTGCATTTATATAGTGCCTTCTTCTACCACCCCCCAAGGAGCTTCACAGCACAATCAGTCATTCGCACGCACACACACACACACACACACACACACACACACACACACACACACACACACACACACACACACAGGTGATGATAAGCAACAGCTGCCCTGGGGCGCACTGACGGAAGCAAGACTGCCAAGCACTGGTGCCACCGGGTCCTCCGACCACTACCAGAGGGCAAGGTGGGCTAAGAGTCTTGCCCAAGGACATAACAGTGGCATTTTCTGGTGGGAGCCAGAATCAAACTTGCAACCTTCCAATACTGGACAACTTGTTCTACTTGCCGATGTACTGCTGCCCCCAAACCAATACCAATATATGTGAAGCCCCCCCCCCCCTTCATGAAAACAAAAGCCAATCATTTTAGGTAACTAACGTGAAATTTCTCCGATCATGTATTCTAAAGCAGTCACATTCTCCCTGACACAACCCTGACAAATGTCTACTATACAGGACAAATTTCTACTTCTTCATAATTTGTGCCAATCAAACAAAAGTATATAGTCAAAAGCTATACCTCGGAGCTGTCATATTTTGACATTTTGGATGAGAGGAGAATTAACACAAGAGTTTTGTGTACAGTATGTGCTTGGTACTTAAAATCTGTGTAATTAAAAGAGGAAAAACCGATACAGATCATTTCTGATATTCTGATAGTATAGTGGAAGTAGGCCTAGAATATTGGACATCACTAATAAAACTGTTCTGAAATACACAAATGTAAAGTTTGATGTGTTTTGAATTACTTTTAGGTAGGGCTGGGCAATAAATAGAAAATTTATCATTATCAAAATTTCTGACTCATCGAGAAAATGTTTTCCATGTTAATAAATTTGATAATAAAAAAACTGAAAAGATGTGTATAGGTTGGCAACATTCATGTCCCTTTAGGAAGCTGTACCACCTTGAGTCACGTAAGAATGTGACTCAACATAATATATGTGACAGCCCCATCTTGTGGACAACTATTTTTTCTGTGCGTACCTGTAGTTATCGTCCATTTATCGTTATCAAGGTGGAATTCTCAATATATTGTGATACTGATTTTAGGCCAAATCGCCCAGCCCGACTTTTATGTATATTTTAGGAAAAATGTTCATAAAAATACAATGTACTGGATTAGAATATCCAGGGCTTTTTTCCTCCGATTTTTTACATTCTTCTTAAATATGCATGTATTTTTTTTATATCAAAAGCTTCAGAAATGAACAGATTGAGAATTGTCTGCATCAAATGTACAACACCTTTGGAACAATGTCAACTGATTTTATACTAAAGCCTCTTTTTTAGTAACAATTGTATCACAAGTAAGCAGTAACAATGTTAGCTGGTTATTGACTACAACATATGGCAATTAAAAATATTTCAGTATGTTTTTACTATGATTTGGTAAAACTGGAGAGTTCTGAGACAAAGTTGCTTTTTACAGATTGCATCAAGAATCTTACGCTGTTTCATGACGGCAAAAGAACATTTTTTAAATAGATTTTACTTTAAATTATTTTATCATGTTAAAAATGACAAGGAATTTATCAAAAAGTGCTCATGTTGGCATTAAAATAGAGTGTAAATGAGCTAGCCACTTGGACAGGAGCTGTTTTTAAGATACAAATCCTATATAATATTGGTAAGTCCATTGTGATTTATAACATGTTTTGGTTTTGCTGCATTTTTTCCCCAAGTTAAAATGTTCTGTAAGCTTTGATAAAGGCAGACTTATGTTGCATGACCTGTAAAAACTGACCTGCTGAACTCATTAAATTATCTGCTGCTTCTAAGTAGGATGCTGGTCCAACATTTCTCTCTGCTCTGTGAGCAGGTTTGTATTTTGGCTTTGCTTGTAAAATTTACCTGTTGACACTTACAGGTTTGGCCTCACTTCAGGGAAATTAAAAGTCACCGTGTCATTTCTGTTAGGGTTTTTGCAGAGGCCTAAATTGATTTGATAAAAGGTGTTTTCATGCATTATTATATGAAGTGTGCTAAGCGGTTAACCTTCCCTCAGGGCTGGCAGAAAATCGAAGACTACAGCTAGTCAGTGCTCTAAAGATGTGTTAAATTTTGATTGATTGTTGTCCTTGCAGTTTGTTTTTTTTCCCAAACGGAAAACAGAAGTGTTATTACTCATAGAAGAGCGTTTGTCCTTTTGTCGGGAGATTGTTCACTTATAAAGCAAAGATGGAAAAATGTGGATCATTGGCTTTATCAGTTGCCATTACCTTTGGTAATGGCCTCCAATAGAGGTGTTTAGTTTCAAGCTACATCACTGGAAAAGTTGACGAATATGTCCTTTGGTCGTGTACTTGCAGGGAGAACCCAAACTGTCCAGAAGTACTAGACTTTTAAGTGAGGCCAGCAGCTCAGTCATTACAGCGGAGTGAAACCCCATATTCTAAAACAACCAGTGCAGCTTTGCTACTATAACAGTAATCTATAATAGTTCTCCTTAATAATATGATACTGCTCTCTGAAAAGCACCGTGTGGGTTTTGCTCTAATAATCCACAGTTTTAAATGTCAGTCTACAGCTCAAGGCAAACATTATGCTGATTACAGTAACCATCGTTTCTAAAGAGCTCCCGATGCCTAGCAGAAAGCAACATCATTGATATTTTTAAGCGTGCACGTGTTTTGATGCTTGGAATTTGGCACTCGATGGAGTTCTTGGCTAAATGTACCCGATGAATGGTTTTCAGAGCCACTTTATCATACATAGTGGCTTATTAGGATGTCAGTCGCTCATCAGACCTTGTGTGCACGTGGGTTGAGTTTCTGAGTGTGCATGTTTTCTAATAAGTATAAGGATAATTTCTGTTTTAACTGTGTATTCTGGATATGAATTGGCTTTTAAACCAGATTCTTTCAGCTCAGCCTGAAAGAAATCCTCACCCTTAAACTCTTGCCATCTCAATCTTCTCTGCCTCTATGGAACGCTCTTCTTTTCTCGCCTCATGGTCATGCTGCATATGTCCACTCTACAAGAGGGTATTAGGTTAAGAAAAAAAGCTGCTGAATTCGTCTTTCTACATGCAAAAACACAGCAACCGTTTGGAAAAATAAAAATACACTTATAATTTAATATTTCCATAACGAAAAGGAAGAGGCAGTCCTGATTTGTGCATTTGTCAGGGAGGTATCAAAACTGTAGCATAACTACTTGTTTTCAAGATGTATTGAGTTAAGTCAGAACAATAAATGAATTATTAAATGTACACGCTCTTTGCTGAAGCTGACAGACGAGCAGAAGTGCATCACTGCCTACGCACGGGCGTTTAAGCGGATTGACATTCACCCAGATTCAGAAACATTCATTGGTTTTATTCCTGTTTATCAGTTTTCTGTACCACTTTTAAGTAAGGACAGGCATTGGCATCGCACACACATACACACATTTGCAGCCTAGTTAAACCAACACCCTAAAAACCAACAGGATATTTATATACTTACTAAATAGGTTGACACTAGTTTGAGTGGAGTTTTTACTCCTGTCACCACAGATAAAGCAACATTATTTTTTGTATTAACACCCAGACAGAACACGCATAAAAAATTTGGTCACAGGCATTAAAAGAGAAAGAAGGTCTACCGGGCATTTTAAGACTTCCAGTTAACCAGAATGAATTTCATGGAGTTCTGCACATCATTTTCCATTTTCTCTCTCTTCCTCTTTCATTTTTCCACACACTGTCTCTCACCTCTTGGACTGACTGGGTCTTTCCATGCTGTCACCCCCCCACCTCCCAGTAGTGTCACATTACATTCAGTCTGCAGAAACCTTCCTTTATTTTTTTAAATTTCCCCTCCTCTCTTGCTCTGTTGCTTTTCTAGCCCCTCCTTTACCCCTCTCCTGTGACGGTTTCCTTCCCCTTAATCTTGCCGCTCAAACATTGTCCCTCTTTTCCTCTGGCTCCATACAAGGGAAAGCGGGTGGAAACCCATCCCAGAGGGGGGATCCACTAACTGCACCCTTTGGCACCAGCTGTCTGTCTCGGGCCTGTTCTATGGGTACTCTTGCATGGCTCTGGGTGAAGTCTTTTTCCCCGGGTGTGTGTTTGTGTGTTAGAGAAAGTGAAAGAGTCACAAGATAGTGTGCTTGGTGAGCAAGGTTCGTAACTCTTAGACGACATGCAGCTAAAAGCATTATGTTGTAACAACTGTCTGGCCTGGGCAGCATCTGATGGGGCTTTGGGTAAGGATAGAAGGACAACTGGGGCGTGGTGCTTTACAGCTGCATGTGTGTGTGTGTGTGTGTGTGTGTTTGTAGTCTGTTCTATCAAAGCTAGTCTCTCTCTGTGAGTACTTAGTGATCATGGTGGCCCAGCGTTGTTAATTTGTGTAATCAGTGTTTAATTGGCATTCAGGAAAACACATTAATCAGACCGGAATAAGTCTCCAGGTCTTTGCACAGTCGTTCATTAGTCTGCTTCAATCAGCCAATCAGAGGCAACCTGGGAGCTAGGCATGCTGGGGTGCAATCACTGATTCTTCAAAGATGCAGGAATGATACCGTACTGGTCACAACATGCTGCCATCATGTCAATTTATGAACACAGTTGGTGAAGTGCTAAAGCAGTCTTATAATTGTTATTTTCATGGTGAATACCATCATCAGTAGTAATTTACTCTAGGTATATATATATATATATATATATATATATATATATATATATATATATATATATATATATATATATATATATATATATATATGTGTGTATTTGTGTTTGGGAGTTGTGTCTGAGGTACATGGATCTCAGAGCGTTCAGCCTCTGTGTGTAAGAATGTTCACATTTCCATGCTACATCTATAAATGTATCTCCTTCACTGCAGAAAGAGCACACCCTCTCACAAAATGAGAAGTCAATTATAAACAGACAGGCCATCAAAGCCTTAAACCTGCACAGCCAGAAGTAATGATGGAAACCAGCTTTCTTCTAGAAGATTATATAAGCCTCTTCTATACTTTTTCACTCTGGCTTTTTAATTCTGCTGCTGGCCTACAAACAGTTTTGACATTATTCACCAACCGTCATCCCAAACACCCAGAGAGGAAATTTTATCACACACTATTAGTTGTTCAGAATTTAGCATTTGAAGCAGAGCGTGTTGTGTTGGCTGGTTCCTCAGTACTCATCATTCAACTAAAGCTATCTAATTCTAGAGGTGCTGAAATTAATCGATTCAAGTGTGAATCAGGATTCTTATTTATAAAGGTTCAGAATCGATTCCCAAGAACTCAAATATTTGGCACGTTACAGGTTTGAGATGCACTTTTTTGATCTTTGTTAGGAGAGTCAGTACTTCGTTTACTTTTGTGGTCCCATAAATTGAGATGATTTATGTTTGAATCTGCTGATTAGAGGGCACTTGAATGTATTTTTTTTCCATACTCAGAAATTTGAGATATTCTCATATTTATTTTCTAAGTTGATAAATGAGTACTCAGGATTACTCGTGTAACTTGTTTCTACACATACTTGAAAAGTATTTGACTGTATTACTTTCAAAGCTACTGTTGGGTAACTACAGATTTGTTATATTTTACAAGGTAAGCAAAAATATATGTTGCCTTTTGGTCAAAACATTGCTTCTGTTTACAGTTTTAGAATCACTTTATTTTACATTGCAAATTTGCATTTTTGGAGCACGACGAGTTTAAAGTCAAATAAATATGTCCCATAGCTTTATAGGGACATTATGGACGTTTGACAGCCAAAACATGTATAGAAATTCCTTCTTCATACATTCTCCTGCAATCTCCTGGTCCTGTAGAATGAGCCCTGACATTTTTACTGTGATTGCCGGTTTTTCTGTAAAATCACAGAAAAAGAGAGATGCTCGGGTCGAGCAGGCTGCTTCATGCGCGTTCACGCTCAGGCATAGCCCGTAGCGTTTGCTATCAGTAGCTTTAGCAGCAGAGAGTGAGGTAGTGCCAACTCAGCGACTTTGTCGCTGTTCCTAATGCCTAGTGATGAACCTAGCTACATTTCAGAGGACCCTTAGCTACTTTCTTCTAGATATTTCCTGCAAAGCAACTAAATATCCATTTTCGCTCCGAACCGTTCTTTGAACGTTGTTTCAGCTGTCATCAAAGATATAAATATTACAGATACAAAAGATGTCACTGGCGCTTTAGCTCACCTAGTAAGACACTGGACTCTCGTGCAGAAGACCTGGGTTCAATTCTGGATGTGAACATAGTTCATTTAGAGTTTCTTTTTTACATTAATGGTATATTTTTTTACAGTAAGATGCCCAAATTTTTATTTGAGACTCGCCGAACGTCACTGAATTCACAGATAAAAAAGATGTGGGTTCAACTTTCATTTTGGAACAATTTTTCAAGCAAGGGAAGGGAATGATCTGAGCATGCAGGAGGACTGACCATCATAAACCTTTGTCAGCTGTGCTGAAGAGAAAGTGTAACCCAGAAGCTAGAACCTTAATGAGGTATTAACTAATTGGCTTACTAATATGATCCATCCTCAATTTAGATAAAATATAAAATATAAATTAAGGAAATTAACAATACTAATTAATAGATATCTAATTAACTAATAGATAATTTCATAATGAATTATTGGAAGGGTGAATAACTAAAATAACGAGTTTAATATTAAACATCGGTTAAAACAAGAATCTTGAACATCACTAACAGAAACAGAAGAGGAAAGCTGTATACTATTGGTCCAGGTGGGAATCTGAAATTTCATTGGCTGAGAGAAATAAGTCCCGCCTCCGCGAAATAAAACCGTGCGACGCAGCTGAGCGAGAGGAGAGACAAACGGCTGTGCAGCACGCAGATACAGAAAGCAAAGACTGAGCGGTTAGAGAGAGAGAGAGAGAGAAAAAAAAAAACAACGGTCGAGGCCGTGAAGAACCCTGATTTGGGTGCCGCATAGATAGAGGGAGAGGCGGACTTGACTCCTTCTAATAAGAGCTAGGAACTTGGAACCAACGCGGTGAGTAAAGAAAAAAGAAGAGAAAAAGCTAACGATGCAACTTAAAAAAAAAAGAAGGAAACTTAAATAGCTTATCAAATTAATTCCATTCTTATAGATTTGTGTGGAGACGACAGAGTGAACCAATCCTCTGTAGGAGGGAACCGTTGGAGCGCGTTGGTGAGTGAATGAGATTAAATTCAGTAAATTATTAAATTCAAAAAGCTAATTACAGCAACCGAGGTGACAGCAGTGGGCTGCTAGACGTTAGATCCCAGGAGTTAACATCTCAAACTACCAGTTAACGGTGGTAGGGCATATAGGAGTTAACGGCTCAAACCGCCAGTTAACGGCGGTACGGCCTAGATGTACAAGGTCCTCAGGGGCGTTATAGCTAACGCCATAGAATTAGCAATGCGTCCCTTAACCAAACATTTAATAATAAAAAAAATAGATAAATAAAAATAAATAAAAGCTAACTGATTAGGGAGGAATTATTTTACAAAGGTGGACCAAAGGACCAGAATTTATATTTTGTTGAATTTTGTTATAGAACATTTTATTTATTTATTTATTTATTTATTTATTTATTTATTTATTGTGTTACAGATATACAAGGTGTCACAATGCTGTATAGAAACACAACTAAATGTATCCTTGTTGTCATGAATGTATTTCTTGTTGAATAGTGTAGAGTAATAGAATCTAAGTGAGCCTATTGAGCTGAACAATTGTTGTCATATGTAATTATATTTCCAGAGCTACTGAGAATTATTTTAATAGACAATCAAATTGATGTTATGTTAGTTGAACTGTGAACCCAAACATGATTGGCTATGCCAATAGAGTGAAGCATTTGTTTAAGTCTGTAAGACTTTATGCTGTGATGTGACGAGAAGGGTCGATGCCAACTCGCTAACAGTCCTGTTGTTTACAGGCTGGGTTTTTTTTTTTCCTTGGGTTTGATCCCGACTCCTATGATCACTCACTTGGAACGAGAACTGGATTTCTTCCTGACGAGGGAGATGGCGAGCCTTAACCACTGAACGAACCAGGACATCTCAAGTAACTGAAGAGCAGACTGCTCTCTTCTGTGAACAATCTCAACGGTGCGGTAGGAAAAAATCGCACCACCGGACTCTGACTTTCACCCCAAGCGTGGGGATTTGACTTGACGCCGGCTGACTTGTGACTCATATGATCAAATCTCATACCGAGCATTTTACTATTGTCGATTGTTTTCATCTGTTTTTGTGTGTTATCTTTATGTGTTATATTTCCCATTATTATTAAAATTTAGTATATAAACCGTTTCATGCTATACCCGTGACTCCAGTCATTCTTAAACAACCTCCAATTCTCCCCGAACCTAATTATTGGCCCATTTGTTTATTTTTTCTTTTAATTATCTTATTGTATCCTGTAATCCGGTTACAAAAGGTACAGAACCAAAGTATTTAATTAATTAGCTGCACGTTCTCCTGTCCTCCGGGCCACACACACACACACACACACACACACACACACACACAAGGGACTGTCTCAGCCTGTTATTTTCGTTAAAGAGCGGGTCAATTGAGCCTCGGAGTCCTTCTCCACCCACGTATCAATTTTAAAAATGCAACATTAGTAGGCGTTGCCTGGAGGACCGAGAGGGCGGAGCCGCGGCAGTGACGAAGACGACGGCTAACTAGACGATGCTAGCTCCCTTCACTCTATGCAGTTATTAGAAATGGAGGATGTTTCTCCCCCTCCTTACCCAGACACTCGAGAAGAAAGGGACCAAGTCTATTTGGAGGAGACAAGCGGACCTGAGCCTTATTGTTGTGAGCTTGTGAGTTGCCTGTAACTCCCAGAACCGACCCAACAGAACCACCTCTGAATGTAAGTAGCCATTAGCCATAGCATCAGATTAGCTGCAGGGTTTGTCTCCACGGCCCTGGAGAGCTAGTATTCAGCATGTTTTAGAGGTTTATCTGCTTCAGCACACCTGGTTTTAATCAGCAACAAATAGCTGAGCTGCTTAACAGTTAATCTAACCTGTTAAAGCAGGAAAATCCACTGAAACGTGCTGGATAGCAGCTCTCCGGTAGCTCTGGGCTCAAGTTACAGTCTGCTGCATAAAGTTATGAAAATACCCCATGAGAAAATTATTCTGTAATGTGTTCAGCTCACTAAAACTGCCCTGATTTATTTATTTACTAATAACAGCTGCTCTCTTGGTTCCAGGTCCTCTGGTGTCTGCAGGTGGTCTCCTCTGCTGGTGTCGTCAGGATCAGGAGCTTCCAGAAGAATGTGCCTTTCAATGACTCTTTCCCCCTTATTTGTTATATTAATTAAATAAATCTCAATTTATATATTTCCTGTTTTTTTCATGTCCATAAATACTTAAACATGCTTGAAATTAAAACGAGCTTTTAACAGTGATGTGCTAGTTTAATTCATCACAATAGAGCTAGTTAAACATGCATTGTGATAATTCAATTAATGTAATTTATAAATATCCATTAAAATATCAAAACTGGAATCTATATGAGATATTTGGCAGCACAAAAAAACTTGTCAAACACAATATTTATTATAATAATTGTAGGCAGACAGGAGACAGAGCTGATGGAGGTTCTCAGTCATCGAAGGATGGCTGAAGGCTTTCCAGGAACAGGAGATGTGGTGTTGTCTCTTCTCTCTCTATTCTGCCAGATGAGCTGATAGGTTACAGGTGTGTGAGGACATCCTCATGCTGCCATAACCAGATGACAGGAGTTATCAGGTGATCAGCCAGGCTAATGAGATGCAGAAAGAAAACAAATTCAGGACAGTGTACTATATGTGGTGTTGCTCACCTTATGTGCTCTTATAGAGTTATTAACGTGTGCCTGCCTCATGTTGTAGAGTCCATATTTTGCTGAGTGTCCTGCAATAATGCAGGTTATTAGCTAATTTACTTTTGATAGCAAAAACAAAATATTTAATGTAAAAGTTGTTTACCAGGTGAATCAGCTCACACGTCACCACCAAGTGTCACGGGGGCAGAATCAGTAGCCTCCGTCATGATGTAATCACATACTTATTTAATTGTTAATATCTTAAAAATTCTGAAATGTTTTAATTTTTTTTTACCTTGAACAGTTCACTGAGCTTGCACTGTCACTGAGGTGGAAGCTGGAATCAACAGCAGACACCTCACACCTTGGTCTTTTCAGGGGGTGTGGCCGCTGCTCTGGGACCTTCTGGAAGATGAATTTTCATCATGGTCCCCGTGGGTCACCAGACACACTGCGGCTGTGAACTCCATTCTGGCTGGCTATGTAAAAACAAAGAAGCAGCACATTTATAAATGTTTAAAAGAGCATAAAATCACGTGCAACAATAATCTGTAAAACAAATTAAAACTAGAAGGTAATAATAAAATGTTTACATAGAAGATTATTAAAAATAATTCACCTTTGCTACGCCGGTAAGGCTTCACGTCTGCCTGGACAAGTGCATTCTTGCAGCTAAATCAGTCTGACAGCCAGTGTCTTGGGTAGATTTAGCCTGAAAAAAAAATAAGCACATTGTTGTTGGGAGTTTATAAAGTCAGATAATATACAAAAGAATCTCCTATATAGGTGCTTTATAACATTCCTAGTGTGTGATCGTTATAACGTAAAAGTCAGTCACACATGATGTGGAGAGCCTGAAATGTGACCTCCTGAACAGAATTCCTTACAGAACCGGGTCACGCTGTGCTGGATTTCACGCTGTAATGCTGTCTACTAGTGCTGCGTCAGTTAGAGCCACTGTTGCAGAATTGCCGACTGACTAGCTAAAGGAAGTGAACCACGTCTCTCAGACTTTGCATTTAGGTAGGGAATTGTCTTTAGAAGATGTTAAAACGTTTATTTAGCTTACTCACCTCAGACTGGAGCCCGCCGTGGTGGGGGAGCAGAGTCGGTGGGCTGCATCTAAATCGCGGAAGAGCCACGGTGGGCTGCCTCCCTCTTCAAACGGAGACGTGCAGAATCGCGGGTAAAATGCCCACAGAGTCACCGCAACCATACTACACTACACCTACTCACCAATACTAACACGATATGGAGCACTAAACCCGAACTACTTTCCCAATTACACTAACAGCCAAACACTAACTAAACTACAATATCCAACAGCCAAATCTAACACTAAATAAGTATTTATAACACTAAAAGATATGCTAAAGACTAGGATATGCTAATGCTATATGCTAATGCTGAACTACCGCTGACCTCCTACGCTCGCTTGCAAATCCAACTCCCACTCGCCACAGGGCGTGGCCGAGACGCTTGTTGCTTTTATAACTTTGGCACGGAGCTGCTACGTAGTACTCTACTGGTTTACGTAGTACTTTACTCTTTAGCCATTGGCTAAAATTTATTCAAAATGACTCAAATTCTATGTTTTCAGCTGAAGGTGGTGCATTACTGTGGTTTTTAGACAGAATTTTTAATTTTTAAAGGAAATGCACCAAAATGCTAAAATAAAGAATGCACACATTTAAAACACTATTAGACACTCATTTATACAGTTCATCAGCAAAAAAAAGTTAATTTAGACGTTACTTGCTCTTTAAGCAGTGTTACGCTTTTGGCCTGAGGGGGCAATCGCGAGCATAAAAATTCAAAACTCCATAAAGTCCCTTTAACTAGCTTGTACAACAAAGTAGTTAATCCTGGAGCTGGCACTCTTTGTTAATACTGATTGTGAATCGATTTAAATTGAAAATCGAGAATCGATTCTGAATCGAATCGGCATCCCAAGAATCGGAATCAAATCAAATCGTGAGTTGCTCTAAGATTCACATCCCTAATTAATTCCTTTCTTGAGTTGTAATTGTACATCTATAAGAAGACACACAATACATGAATACAAACCTAACACTATATTGTAGAGAAACTAACACATTTCTATGTGATGTTAAATCCAGATGTTTTTCTGTGGAGTGTAAATGGTCGTCATCATGTGCTAATTTCTAAAGGTAAGCCTTATGCAGCTTTATTTATTTTTGTAGTCCATCATAAACATCTACTTAGTACCAGCTTTATTGCAGAGCATGTAAAGAGTTTAGTTACATCAGAAAAATATGCCCTGAGCGATGCTGTCAGGAAAATAAATGCTCCCTGCCTTATTGCGTTGCTAAGGTTGTAACTTGCTAGATGTGGAGGAATGGAAAAAAAATATATATATATATTTTTTTTTTCTATCCTGCTGTTTTGTTTATATTTGGTTTTTTAGGACGTTGTATCACTCTGTTTTATTTTAATCTATGTTATGTTCAGCACCATGGGCTTCCGCAGAGGCAGTGAAAGGCGCTCTATACATAAAGATTGATTGATTGCTTTTGGTATCATAATATATTGTATCTCACCTTTATTTTGATATGTATCTTATTGGCAGATTTTTGCCAACACCCCCCCCTAATGTTTAGCCATTGTGCTTGTAAACCAAAGGGATATTAAAGCTTTGGCATCACGAAGGTAGAGGTAGGCTACGCTTACCTCTACTTCACACTGTAGGCATCAGTGGCACGGAACGGTTTACTTTCGAGCTTCGCTGTGCACCAGTACACACCGGGACAATCTCAGCTGCGGAGTGGCTTCTCAACCTCGCTTAACTCGTGAGATCACAATATCTCTCGAGTCTTCAAAGATCACGGTTTGTTTATGCCTTCTGCCATTAAACCATATAGAAGGAATTCACTGATGTCATACATGATGTTGTTACTCTCCACTGCCAGGATTTAAGTCGTGGTAAACACACCGCTGCACTTCTGGAACGATGCTGGGAGTAAATAAGCCGTTGGGTCACGTTTTGATGTTATCTACATAGGTATGAAGTCACATCACTGCAAAAGTCAATTATTTAGAAAATTCCCAAAGGTTTTACACTGAAACCAGACGTGATTTCCTGTCTAGCCCTATGTTAACGGCAGAAAATGACGTGTCCCAGAAGCAGCTTGTGGCAAAAATGGAACCCAATCCTGTCTTTAGCGGCGTGGCGTGGTGAGCGGCTGGTTTGAATCTCCCCCATAGACTATAATGGATTCTATTTGAAGCAGTGACAGTCCGTGCTGTTCCGCGCTGTTGATGCTTCTAATGTAAAGTAGGTGTTAGCTGGATCCTCAGGAAATAAAACGACTCTCCACTCCAGCAGATTCCATTGGTAATATTTAGAAGGATATTTGCACTTGTTATCCTTTAAGTTAAAAGTTTTAGGCTTCTTGAAAAGTTTTATTTTTTGTTTGCATGCAGTCAGATAAAAATACAGCAGCCTTTTAGTAGTTTAGCTGTCTCGACCATTCAAGAAGCAGTCATTTAGGTTCTTAGCAATGCAGTCTAAGATTTGTCTTTTTAAAATAATGAACCTATCAGAGCACCTCATTGGTCATTCTTGATATTTTAGAGTTGGCTTTGGTTTCATGATTTCTAAGAAAGTGCTGTAAAGTCAGCTTTCAGAGGGGAGCTGTACAATAAGGGCTTCAAATGGTAGCTAACAAAAATCAAGGTTGAGTGATGTGGGCAAAATTGCGGTTTTCTAATGCGTCTCCAGAGAAGCTCAGAGAAAGAGAGAAACAGATTGGATGTACTTTCTTCTTTACTGTAAATAACTTTGGCACTGAGGGAGGGCTCCTTCTGTCAGTCACAATCATAAGATGCTGGCAATCAGGTGTTATAAACGGCAGCGAACACATGCAAGAAATGCAGACGATGTTATGTGTTTGGGTAGTTTGTTTGTTTGTTTGATTGGAGGCTGCGTGTGACATAATTAGCTGAATGCTGATCTGATCTAATTGCACTTCAGCAAACGAAGCTACCGTGGAGCCGCGTCGTGTTAGTTTGTTAATTTTCAAGACCGAGTGTTTTCATGAATGTCAGAATTATTCTGAACTCCCCAAAATGATTTACTGATTAAACTTCTGGATAATCAGATGGTAATTCCAAATCATCAGGGGCATTATCTGATAAAATGCTAAGCCGGTTTGATCTGCTGGAGAATAAGAAGATTTTACAACAATCTGTTCACGTGTTACTTTTCTACTTGAGAGTAACAATAAATCTAACTGTATGAACGCTAGCACAACATCTCAATGAGGATTTTTCCTGGACAAGTATTGAATTAAAATAAAGTCTAATTTAGTCTATCTTTTGTATACGTTTCCATTCACATGTTAGTCCCAACCACGTCTTGTTAGGATGAAATAAATACTGAGAATATTACAATACAGGGCCTCGCTATACCACTTGATTTGGCACTGACTCATTTGATTAGTTGAGCTTTAACTATCTTTAATTTAGTCTGGATTTGTGTGTGTGTGTGTGTGTGTGTGTGTGTCCGTG